GAGATTGCAGTGAGCAGAGATTGCACATTGCACTCCAGCCTCGGTGACAGAGCAAGACTCTGTCCCAATAAAAAAAAAAAAAAAAAGTGAGAGAGAGAGAGATAGACGATAGATAGAACCCACAAGCCAAGATCGTGACGCTGCACTCTAGTCTGTGCGACAGAGCAAGACTTTGTCTCAAAAAAAAAAAAAGTTGCCAACCCCTTTCTACTATAAGCCAAGTCCAAATCTCTCTTACTCAGCAGATCCTACATTTTCCAAGTCAGTTACCAAGGATATATCAAAGAAAAAAATTTTAGTTATAAAAGATTGCTATTATCAGCCAGGCACAGTGGCTTATTCCTGTAATCCCAGCACTTTGGGAGGCCAAGGTGGGAGGATTGCTTGAGCCCAGGAGTTCAAGACCAGCCTGGGCAACATCTCTACAAAACAAATAACAAACAAACTAGCTGGGCGTGGTGGGGTGGGTCTATAATCCCAGCTACTTGGGAGGCTGAGGTGGGAGGGATCAAGGCTACAGTGAGCCATGATGGTGCCACTGCTCTCCAGCCTGGGTAACAGAGTGAGACTCTGTCTCAAAAGAAAAAGAAACGAACAAACAAAAAAGACTGCTATTATCAAGTAGAAAGAGAAACAAGAACAAACAGATGCCATACTTCTCCGCACACGGGACTCAAAATCCAATATCCCATGGCTAAGAGCTCATGACTCTGGAGCCAGACTATCAGTTCAAATCCTGCCTCTACATTTAGGGCAAGTGACGTAACCTCTCTGTGCTCTGCCAAAGAGCTGTTGAGAGCAGTGCCCATTTTCTAGAGTCGCTATGAGAATTAAATGAGCTACTATTTATTTGGAAAGCACTTCAAGAGTACCTGACACAAAGTATGTGCTTTGCATTAGTCATGATCTCCTCAGGGGCCAACAAATCCCACTCATTACTTGATTTTGTACACAAAGTTGTTTTGAGTTTTTTTGTTTGTTTGTTTTTTGAGATAGGGTCTCATTCTGTCCCCCAGGCTGGAGTGCAGTGGTGTGATCACGGCTCACTGCAACCTCAACATCCCAGGCTCTAGCAATCCTCCTGCCTCAGAGCCCTGAGTAGCTGGGACTACAGGTGCACACTACCACACCTAGCTAATTTTTGTACTTTTTGTAGAGATATGTTCTCCCTATGTTACCCAGGCTGGTCTCAAACTCCTGGCCTCAAGTGATCCTCCTACCTCAGCCTCCCAAAATGCTGGGATTACAGTTATGAGCCACAGTGTCCAGCTTTAATTTTTTTTCTAAGAAATGGAGTCTTACAATGTTGCCCAGGCTGAACTTGAACTCCTAGGCTCAAGGGATCTTCCCATCTCAGGCTCCAAACAAAGTTCTACGGGAACACGGCCCTGCCCATTCGCTTACATTGTACAAAGGAAATGTTGAGTGGTCACGATAGAGATCTCACCAACCTGCAAAGTCTAAAATATTTACTTTCTGGCTATTTTTTGAGATGGAGTCTTGCTCTGTCTCCCAGACTGGAGTGCAGTGCTGTGATCTTGGCTCACTGCAGCCTCCGCCTCCCAGGTTCAAGTGATTCTTCTGTCTCAGCCTCCCAAGTAGCTGGGATTACAGGTACGCACCACCACACCCAGCTAATTTTTGTATTTTAGTATAGATGGGGTTTCACCACATTGGCCAGGCTGGTCTCAAACTGCTGACTTCAAGTGATCTGCCTGCCTCGACCTCCCAAAGTGCTGAATTACAGGCATGGGCCACCACGCCCAGCCATTTTCTCGCCCTTTTTAGAACACGTTTGCAGACTCCGACCCACCCCCAGTCTGGGTAACAGGCACTCTTCCTGCTTACGATTAACATGATCACCAGCTGGTTCTTCTTGGCCACCTGCGCGTGGGAGAAGATGCAGTCCAGCACCTGGGACATGTCTGGCTTGAACTGCTCCCTGAGGTTTATCACACACTTGTCGTAGTGAGCTAGCAGAGACAAAAGACCACACACGGGTAAAGCTCAGGCTTCCTCGGCCCCCACCATCCCCCCGGCGTCGGCATCAGCATCTCTTGCCTTGCTGAAAATGGTGCTCGACGTGCAAGTATCTTCTCAGGAGATCCAGCACCACTGTTTTCATATAGCCACGGGTCCCGCTGCGGTATCTGGGGAAAACGGAAGGCCGCTCTTAATGCTCACACCCTTCCTCGAGTCCCTGAATATTTTCCTTTTATGATTTTTAAAAAGAAGAAGGATTTTAGAAAGGACACTGAGATGGGAGGATCACTTGAGCCCAGGAGTTCAAGTTCAGTCTGGGCGATATAGCCAAGACCCCATTTCTACAAAACAAAACCAAAACACGAAGGCCAGGCACAGTGGCTCACTCCCAAGATCCCAGCACCCTGGGAGGCTGAGGCAGGAGGATCATTTGAGCCCAGAAGTTCAAGACCAGCATGGGCAACAAAGTGAGACCTTTGATTTTTCTTTACAGAAAAATCAAAACAATTAGCTGGGAGTGGTAGCGCTTGACTGTGGTCCCAGCTACACAGGAGGCTGAGGTGAGAGGATCACTTGAGCCCAGCAGGTCAAGGCTGCTGTGAGCTATGACTGCACCACTGCACTCCAGCCTGGGTGACAGCCTGTCTCAAATAAATACATAAAAATTAGTTAACTAGTTAATTTAAAAATAAATTTTTTAAAAAAATATCTGGAGGCAGCCTCTAATCCTGAGGCTTCAAAGGATGTGCAGTTGGTTCATCTGGAGGCCAAAAACAGCACTGAGCTGCCTGAGGTCCCACATCAGACCGGGGGGCAAAACTGGAGTAGATCCCAAGCCTGACACGTGGGAGGGCGCCTTTCTGGCCACAGAGATATTGGGGGGAAAAAAAGCCTTAATAGAGTTCAGATGCTGAACAGGGGCAGCCAATTTTAGCAAGCTTTAACCATTAAAACCAAAAGCCAAAATTTTTCAATTACTTACCCACTGTACAGAGATCATTTTAAAAAGACACACTGGAAAGACATTTACCAAAAGATCCCCATGTAAATTTTGCTTCTCTCTTTCTTTTTTTTAAGACAGAGTCTCACTCTGTCACCCAGGCTGGAGTGCAATGGCGCAATCTCAGCTTGCTGCAACCTCCACCTCCTGGGCTCAAGCGATTCTCCTGCCTCAGCCTTCTGAGTTGCTGCGATTACAGGTGCATGCCATCATGCCTGGCTAATTTTTGTAGTTTTAGTAAGATGGGGTTTCACCATGTTGGTCAGGCTGGTCTCGAACTCCTGACCTAGTGATCCCTCCACCTTGGTCTCCCAAAGTGCTGGACTTATAGGCATGAGCCACCGTGCATGGCCTCTTTTTCTTTTTTTCCTTTTTTGAGACAGGGTTTTGCTCTGCCACCCAGGCTGTAGTGCAGTGGTGCAATTACACCTCACTGTAATCTCTGCCTCCCAGGCTCAAGCAATCCTCCCATCTCAGCCTCCCAAGTAGCTGGGACTACAAGTGCCCACCACCACACCTGGCTAATTTTTGTATATCTTTTAGATAGGGTTTCACCATATTGCTCAGGCTGGTCTCGAACTTCTGAGCTCAAGCAATTCACCCCCCTCGGCCTCCCAAAGTGCTGGGATTATAGGTGTGAGCCACCACACCCAGCCGCTTCTCATTTAAAACAAAGTTTTAACCTGGATGTTCCTCCAAAAATCTGAACACAGGAGTGAGGTTTCTTAGGAGATGCGACACTGGGTTTTGGAGAAGCAGAAGCTAGCTTAACTGCATCCCCAAATAACAACAAAACAGATCAAGATGCTAAAAGACTCTCTGGTCCAAATGTGATTTTAAAACACAGGCTTAAACAACACAGAAAAGAGCTTTAGTATTTATGTTCAGCACAGAAAATTGGCTAGAACATTCAGTTCATTTATTAATGATTCATTTTTCCTAGATGCTTTTCTGAAGCTTGAAGGATGGGCGTTAGGTTAGCAGTCGACGTGTTGTAAGAAGACTCCCTTCCTAGTCCTTGGCTGTGAAACTTTCAGTTTGTGGAAAATCCACACTAAAATCTCTCTCCCTAACATCTGGAGAACTCCTTGAAAAGAAGGCCAGCTTTCTACGATCTCAAATTCTTTGTACCTGTGAGTTTTGGGTACATGGGAAACATGCCTGGAATTTATTGGTCCAAATCCAA